TTTTCATTTGTTCAAAATTGATTATGACCGATATTTGGCCCTTTAAGTCTTTCTAATGATATATTTAAGAAATTAATTAAAATTATTAAAGAAAGACCCAGTAAACAAGAAAATGATACAGATATGGGTTCATTTGAATAAAAGGATTTATTCGAATAATGGTTAAGCGAGTTACTTTAATTATTTAGCAAAACAGTCACAATCGCCATCTTCTCATTACTTAAGTCAGCCATCTTGAAAAGCGACCTCTCAACGAAAGCGTTTCTTTTTTCTGCAAAACGTGACATCAGATCGTTCAACGGAGGGACTCAACGGAAAATTCACTGTTGAGTCAACCGTTGAATATAGAAACGTAGGGATAGACAGGTATGACTGTATATAGATTTTCTATTTACAGAAACTAATGAAAATATTCTGAAAAATAAATCTAGATTTTATTAATATTTATACATACAGAAACAATTCTGTTTTCTAAATAAACTAAAAATTTATAATTTCTTTATGATAAAACTAATATTAAGAAAGAATTAACAAGAAATTAATAAATTTTAAAAGAATTTTCTAAACGAAAACAAATTTTACCTTCCAATATTTAATATCAAACCAAGTTATAGAAGCTTGTGAATGTTGATTTTGGAATGGTTCTACGATTAAACAACATTGTAAAACACAATTCTCTTCTATCTGTATAAATCAAAAAAAAAATTAAATTAAAATTGCTTAATTTATTTATAAATAATAATAATAATAAAACTACAAAACATAAAAATAAATTTCTTATAATAATAATACTAATAATAATTCTATATCAGTAAAATAACAATCCTGTTTGCTAATTATTATCTATTTACATACTATTATAAATTTCGAAAAGATTGATTATAGAAATGCTGACGAATAATTATATCAGCAAGTTTGTATTCTACATCAGCAATTTTTTTCATATGAGAGAATTTTATCATCAGAAAAAACCTTTCTTGATAATGAACTTATTTATATTACAGTGCAGCTATTGTAGTGTTTATTTTTATATTTAAACAAAAACAAAAATATTATATTTATTTTCCATTCCTTTATAGTCACTTTCTTATTCACATCTAGGATTTGTCGGTTTTCAAAACCTGTTTTTTTGAAGAAATTTATATAATTTGAAAACTGGTTTTTGAGTCTGGACTTAAACATAATTATCTGATTAAAAACATCAACAGTTTGACACAAAATGTCTCTGGCATAAAATGGGAATATTGTTAAATACTAAGTTTCATAAAACTAACTACAAAAACAAAAAAAATCTCCCTATGCCTAAAAAGTGTCCAATTCTCTTTACAATAGGGAGAAATCTTGCAACAATGGAAAAACATTAGTAAGATTTGTACACTTAAAAGAATGTATTGTTAGCTTTGAATGACATCGATGCTTCTCACACATGGAATGAAGCAGAGTATTGTAAAATTGTAGATCTCCTTAAAGTTTTAGGACCAATATGTTTAGCAGTTGATAAATAGGATGACAAGATTTGCATCTTGTCATCCTATTTATTAACAAGTGAAAGCATATTTAAATTTCTGTTATGTAAATTGAAAAATTTAAAAACTGAAATTAGTTCCAAGTTGTTAAATTCTGTAGAGCAGGGATTCCCAACATTGTACTCAGGGGTACACATGTGCCTGCAGAAAACTGTTGAAATAATGAAAGAATAATAATAATAATAAATCTTTAACCCCTTAATTCCCATTGACGAGTTAACTCATCAAGCCTACATAGCGTTACGAAAAAAGTGGTCCTTAAGGGTATTTTTGAAAAAAATTTTTTTTTCGAATTTTTGGAATGTTTTTTAGGTCCCGAAATTTTTTCAAAATTTTTTTCCCGCGCAAAAAATTTTTATCGCGATTTTAATGAGCCTATGTGAAGGCTCGATTAAGGCTTAATTGTTTTTTAATGGGAGTTTTTTATCAATTTTATTTCATGGTTCCTAAGTTGTAGCGCACGGATTTTCATTCGGTAAAGTTATTTAAAGTTAGTTTCTGATGTCAAAAACGACCTCCAATGGTTTTTTAATTTTTTTAATTAATATATTTTTTTAAATATAAAATTAATTAATTAGGGGGGGTCGGAAATCGCAATAAAAGTTTGAATTTTTTAAAAATATTTAAAAATTTCCGTGTCGCTTATAGTCACCCTACTTTAAACCCTTGTCCTCCCGAGACGTCTATGAGAATGTCCCGGGAAATCCGACTCCAGCTGTGTTCAAGGTCACCCAGCTGTGTAAACAATGACTCATCGGTGTTAAATTTCACAGAAGAGCGAAACAAAGGAAAATAAAATTTGAAGGTTTTTCTTCAAAATTAACGCATTTCTTTCGTTTTTTTTCAGTTTTAAGTATTTTTAATGTATTTTAATATTAATCTTATATCAATTTAAAAAATGATCGGGAATGAAGGGGTTAAAATAAACAAAATAAAAAGTTACTTTAGTTTTTAAAATTGACACTCAGGACCTTTGTGCGTCCTCTCCGAATCGAGCTTAAAAATCTCCAGTTTCTCTTTCCCCTTTGGACCTGTTGTTGTCCTCTATTGTTCGCGATGTTTCGCAGAACATAACCCCCACATTGACAAAAGAAAATTAAAAAAGGAAGACAAGAACAAAGGAAAGAAGTTGAGAATTAAAATAATCAAAACACAAATTTTAAATAAATAGTGAGGCGAGCAGCTACAATAATCATATCTTCAACGGCATCTCTATTGAATTAGTAGTATGGTATTAGTTGTCATTGCTTGCTGCTGTTGTAAACTCGTACTGTTGTAATCACATGCAATTGTTGTGTTGTATTTTTTTTGTATATAAGCATTTTACCCCAAAATGAGTAATCCAAGGAAAAAACAACAAACCTATCATTTTAACAAAGAATGAGAAGAAGACTACTTTGTTATAGAAAGTAAGGAGAAATGTATTTGTTTAATATGCAACAGTTTTGTGTTAGTGGCAAAAAAACACAACAGCGAACATCATTACAAAACCAATCACAGTTCTTTTGAGGTTAGTTATCTGCCTAAATCCAAATTAAGAAAAAGAAAACTGAATCAACTAAAATCAGGATTATCAACCCAGCAAGCATTTTTTACCAGCCATGTAAATAAAAATATAAATGCTACTATTGCTTCCTTTAAAATTTCTCATTTGTTAGCAAAACGAAAAAAACCATTTCTAGAAAGTGAACTAATTAAGGAAGCATTTCTCCTTGGTGCCGATTGTTATTTGAAGGATTTTCTAATAAGTGAGAAATTATTTCAGCAATACAAGATTTGCCATTATCAAAGAATATAAGTACAAGAAGAATCCAGGCGATTTCAACAGATTTACAAAGTCAGTTGAAAAATGATTTGGAAGAATGTGAGTATTTGAGAATGTGAGAACAGTTAGACAAGTCAACAGATATATCAGATACAGCACAACTGGCAGTAATAATAAGAATGGTATTCAGTGATTTTAGTGTGAAAGAAGTTATTAAAGTTACTATCAATGCAAGAGTGAACAACAGGTGAGGATATTTATAATATCTTTAAAAATTACTCAACAGAAATTAATATGCCTTTACACAAGTTATCAGCAATAATTACTGATGGTGCACCAGCAATGGTAGACTGCAATAATGGATTCATTTCCCATTACAAGAAAAATGAATCCTTTCTGAACTTTATGTATTATCACTGCATCATACATCAAGAATCATTACATGCTAAAATATTGTCCTTTGAACATGTTATGAACGTTGTTGTTAAAATAATTAACAAAATTTAAGCAAATCCTTTATCACACAGATTGTTTAAAGCCCTTACAAAAAAGGATGAATCTTCCCAAGCTGACCTTATCTTACATACAGATATTTGTGTCAAAAAATTCTCTTGTACACTTTCCAAGGATAAAAAAAAGTGATAGGTCAAAATTATTTTTCATCAAACATTAATTATTACTCATCTTAAAAACTTTTGGAACAGTTTGAAAGTAGATTCCAGCAATTTACCATTATTGAACCTGTAGCTACATTTTTTGTAAGTCCTTTTACTACACAAGTAGACATTACTGAAACTGCTAAGTCTATAGCAAAACTTCTTCAAGAAGAAACATCAAAAATCAAAGAAGAGATTTTAATTTTCAAAATGACATCATATTAAAATCTCACAATACGGATGAAAACTTTTGGAATTTAGTTGATCATAAAAAGTATAATCTTTTGTTAAAAGTATAATCTTTTGAAAAAAAGGAGTCTTTAAAATCAAATCCTGTTTTGGTTCCACATATTTGTGCAAATGTTTATTTTCCACCATGATTATTATAAAATCAAAAATCAGATTTCAACTTACTAATGCCAAACTTGAAGATTGTTTACAATCAGGATTATCATCTTACACTCCCAACTATGAGAAATTAGCAAATGAAATGCAGTGTCAAAAATCGCACTAATTCAGTTTTTATAATAATTATATAATATGTTATAGTAAATATACATTACAAAATGCATGTTATAATAAAGGAATAATATTTATTTATTTTTTTGTGTCCACCACTATTTTTTGCAATCTTGAATGCGCCTGTGCCACAAAAAGGTTGGGAACTCCTGCTGTAGAGGTATGGATTCAAGCAAGAAGACAAACGGGATTAGTAACACTTTTCCTTTATTTACAAAATCCACAAAATGTTTGGATAAAGTTGTCTAGCATGTTCCACTAGCTGCAAAATCTGATATCATTAAGTTATCTGACCAAATATTATTGAGATTATATTCAAATTATTCTATAGAAGATGACTGCGATGATGAAAAAGTGGCAAAGAAGAAAATCAAGCCATACCTTTAAAAACTGCTATGGAAAAATCAATACATAAATATCTTCAAGAACCTGAAAAAGTGACTTTGTCCAGTCCTAAGACACTAAAAAAGGTTTTTAGTATTAAAGGAAACACAGAAAAAACAAAAAATTTAGATTTACTGTATTATTTAATGCTTTTAATATGATTAAACCCAGCTCAGTAATAAGTGAGAGAATTTTTTTCTATTTCAGGCAATATTGTGTACAAATTAAGGACACAGTTGAGCAATAGATTTATAGGCACTCTTTGCTTTATAAAACCATATTTTCTTAGGAAAAATAAGAAATAAAATATTTTATAGGTATTCATTGTTATTCATTTTTCTTTATGGTTTTCTATGGAGTAAATTTTATAGTTTAATGTGATAATCTAGCATTTTCTTTTCTTTTGTTTTGTGTAAATGTCAGTCGATTTTATTTTGTTATATTTTTGAAATTTTATAAATATTAAATAAATTAAAAAGTTTTAAAATAAGTTGTAAATATCCCTTATCTTCATTTTTGTTGGGGGAGTAAAAATTCAAAAACCGATTTTATAGAAGTTTTTGTATAAACCCTATTCACATCTCTGTATGTAACTTTTAACATATTTATTATTAAACCAAATATGAAAATATTATGTTACTACAATAATTAATGAACATCAATTACATTACAATAATATATGAGAAACCAGGGGCAAAGGGGGATTTTCTATAGCCCGCTTAGTTGGCAATGGGTTGGTTAAACCCGCTCACATTGTCATTGGATGGCTTGTTTGATAAAGTGTCAGCGGGATTGTAAAATCCTTCCAACATCAGGAATCTGACACCAGTTAG